CTGTCGTGTCTACTTTCTGGCTTTCTGGGAGAGACGAGATGGCTGACTTTCGTGATTTCCCTGTCTCATGTGTACTGTATACCCCTACCAACCTTCAAAAAAGGGGGAGGGTCGTACGGACTGGACCAAAATCCCCAATCAATGAGTGCCCTGTCGGGACCACCGTATCAACGAAAAACGAAACACGTTCACTGGCACAGCTTGCAAAGCACAGGGACGACTAGTGTACATATGTGGCGTCAGTTCCAGTATTAGGGTACGCCCCCGACAAATTTGCAATTTTCGGAGGCAACTTTGGGTTACGGTAACCGTTAGATTCTTGTCAACCGTCCTATTCAAAGAAATAAAACTGTACAGATGTCCTCTGGCCTTTCGATATTCGCGGTTTTGAGCGAACACAGTATCAGCTTATCAGAAAGAAGTTGGGAGAAGGCAGCAGAGAGTGGTAAGAATTTGAGGTGTGTGTAAATCGACAACGAAAAGAGGGCGACTTCTGGATAACCAGTTTGAACGGTTGGAAATTCACATCAAGAAACTTGCAGTAGAAATATTCAGCTGAGCGCTTTTCGGCATGTATCGGGAGCCAGCGACACTGGATGAAGAATGGGGTAGTCATGGCGCTCTGGTGCCGAGCACTTGATAAATGTACTGGCAACGAACAGCGATAAGAGACGGCAAAGACCTTTGGGACACTCGAGACACACCACAGTATGAAGACCAGTAAGAGAGCACAATGTTCGCCGTTATTCAGCGGCACACCGGTGGAAATATTCGACGAGAAATGATTGTTGTCGATTGGAATGCTAATGCTAAGGGGGGAGGCTCGCAAAGGGAATGCAGGTTTGTTGAAGAGGACCCAGGCTGTCCCGCCCGTCCAATGTCATTCGCACTCGATTGACGTGTAGGAGGGATAAGAGCGCTTTTAATTTCCAACCTTATTATCTATGCGTACTCTTCCCGTTTAGCGCAATTACCGCAGCTGCCCGCCGGGAAATGAAAAGCCCCGCAATCAGCCTTTTTCAGATATTTGAAAGAGATGCACTCTTGGCGCCTTGGTTTTGAGTGAGGCCTGCAGTAAATGGATTGTAAACCAGCTGAAACACAAAAGCACTCTTTCGGAGAAAAACATCAACAATGGGTAAGGAACAAAGCATAGTGCTAAAATAATGGAGAGACGTCCAGCAGCAGTCAACTAAATGACGTCCTTTGTTGTCAACCACTCTGTCAAGAGAGTGACATCTCGCGCGTGTATAACGTTATTTCCGAATTGCGGCATCGCACTCCCTCTCTAGTTTGCTATTAAGCATTTATCAGACAGACACGGAGAAAATCAACGCGCCGCAGCACTGCCACGTTAAGTGGATTGGGTCCTAGTGCGAATGATGCGCAAATCATCCCCATTTGCAACGCCTCCTCCGTCGCGCTGGCTCCGTGTACAAACTCACCCGTGCGCGTATGCGGCGCGGTTCCCTTCACGGCACTGCGGCGACGGGTGGGGCGAGGGCGACAGGGCACAGCGTTCGATGGGGATTCCCTATGGGGGGTCGTATTTGGGCTGGGAAAAATTTATTTTTATAGTTGATTTTTCTCGCTTTGCGGACGTTTTGGAGGGGGGGTCGTATTTGGTCGTTGTTGGGAGGGGGGTCGTATTTCTGGCTAGGAGTTACGTGGTTCACTTCATGAGTTTTATGAATTTTCTGTGTTATAGGTACTATGTACGCCCGTCCCCCCGCTCGACAACTTTTTCGCCGAGTATAAACCACAACCACAGTCAGCCATCGTACGAGCATGGGGGGTCGTACCAGCCCCTGAAAAAAAAGGGGGGGGTCGTAAAAGCTCGACCAAAATCCCCATCGAATGCTGTGCCCTGGAGGGCGATCGCTTGCGCCTCCGCACTGTGCTTCAATCAGAAGCCCTTTTATGCCCCATTATGTGGAAGGAGGAGGAGAGAAAAGAGGATTGAACAAATAGTGAACGCTCATAGGTGAGTTAGTGGTAATGGTGAGCAGAGAATACAGAAAAGTCGAGAATCAGAGCGTATTATTTCAGTCAACAGCGGAACTGGCAGAATGATTCCCTTCGAATGGGACGTGACGTTATAGCGTTATAAGGTCACAACCAACTGTTGGCAATTTGCCAAACCTCAGCTTGAACTTTCGTGTAAAAGCT